CTAGACGTCCCTCACACCCACTCACCACCCACCCACCACCCCCACTCACACCACCCCCACTTACCCCCCCCCCCCACCTCACACCCATCCCCCCCTCCTCCATCCTCCGCTCGGACATTCGACACCAAAAATAGACCGTCTCGCCACCTGGGACAATCCTCGGACAGCAGTCACAAGGCCAGGGGCAGGGGGGGCAGGGGCAGGGACGGGCCACTAGCCCCACTTGTCACACACACACACACACACCACCACCACCACCACACACACGCACACCCTCAGATATATCCTTGGTGACTCTACTTGCAATGTTCCGGACTATGAGCATGGTTGCCGCTGGAGGCATGCTGCGCAAGCATGCGGCGGCAGGAGCCGCGGCGGCGCTGTCGTCAACGGCGGGGGCATGCAGCGGATCGAATGTTCTGGTGACGGGTGCTCTGGGCCAGATCGGGATGGAGCTAGTGGACGTGCTGCGGGCTAATGGCGACAACGTGCTGGCCACCGACATCCGCCGCCCGCACAAGTCGTCGTCGCTTGGCGAGTTTGCCTACTGTGACGTGACCCGGCCCGAGTCGCTCGACGAGGTCATTGTCAACAACGACATCAGCGTTCTCGTCCATCTGGCCGGCATTGTGTCGGGCGCTGCCGAGGCCAACCCGCGGCGCGCGTACGAGGTCAACACCCTTGGCCAGTACAACGTCATCTCGGCCGCGCTCGCCCACAATCTCACCGTCTTCTCGCCCTCGTCCATCGCTGCCTTTGGGCCGACCACTCCGCGCGATGACGTGCCCAACTCGACCATCACCGAGCCGACAACCAACTACGGTGCGTCCAAGGTCTACGGCGAGTCCATGGGCCGCTGGGGCGCGGCCAAGCACGGCCTCGACTACCGCTCGCTCCGCTACCCCGGCGTCATCTCGTACAAGGCCCCGCCCGGCGGCGGGACCACCGACTACGCCTGCGCCGCCCCTCTCGCTGCCCTCACTGACGGCACCTACGAGTGCTACCTCGCGCCCGAGACCACCATGCCCTTTTCCTACATGCCCGACATCCTCGCCGGCACCGCGGCCTTTATCGCGGCCGACCGCGCCGCGCTCTCCACTACCACCTACAACCTCACGTCGTGCTCCTTCTCCGCCGCCGAGTTTATGGAGGCCATCAAGCTCCGCATCCCCAACTTTGAGGTCACCTACAAGCCTGATCTCCGCCAGGCCATTGCCGACTCGTGGCCGCGCTCCATCGACGACTCGTTGGCTCGCGCCGATTGGGCCTGGTCCCCGCGCTACGGCCTGCAGGAGATTGTCGACGACATGCTCGAGAACATGGCCAAAAACCTCGAGGGTGAGGCGTAGCCAAGCTAGCCACGGCATCGCCAGGTAAATACGTCGCCACAAATGTGTGTTTAGCTTAGTGCGAGTGCCCATGGCCGCCGTGGCCGTGGCATGGCTCGCCGCCGTGGGTGTGCCCATGGCCGCCGCCGTCGCCACCATGCGAGTGCGAGTGCGAGTGCGAGTGGCCATGCGGCGGCGTGCCAGTGCTGCTGCTGGCACCGCCGCCATGGCCGTGGCATGGCTTGCCGCCGTGGGTGTGCCCGTGGCCGCTGCCCGACTGCGCTCCGCGCCGCTGCGCAGCCTGGGCCTGCGGCGGCGGCGGCGCCTGCCAGCCGGGCGTCGCCATCGACTTGAGCTGCACAGCCCGCGGATCGGTGTCGCCAAACAGGATGGTGGCGTCGGCAACGATGGCCGACATGGTGGCGCGGAACTCGGAGATCAGCGCACGCTTCAGCTTGGTGGGCAACCGCCGCGAGTGCTGCAGGTACGACGCCACGTGCTCGGCAAGCGACTGTCCGGCCTCGATCGTCTCAATGTCGACGGTCGGCGACGCGACACGCTGCGCGGCGTAGTACAGGCGGAAAAAGCCAAGAGCCTTGGGTAGATTGCCGGCCTGGAGCGCTGCGTTGGCCGCCAGTGGGTACGCCGAGAGCAAGAGAAAGTGGTGCGGATGTAGGACGCCCGCAGCCTCGGCGATGAGCGTGTCGGCAAGGATGCCGACCGAGTCGGCGTCGCGGGCCTGGGCCGCAATCCGCAGATTGCGCAGCCGGTTCTTGAGCGGATAGAGCAGAGCTGAGACGACATCGACATCACGGGCATCACCACAAGTGGGGCAGGTGTACACCAGCGGCTCGCCGCCAGGCACGCAGATCACCGGGTTGGCGTCGGTCGCATCGGTCGCACATGCCGGGCATACAATACCGCCCAGCGGGCCATCACCCGCAAGACCGGCCGCACACCGCGGGCACGCACAGGTGATTCCGCGCTGGCTCGCCAGCAGCTCCTGACGCTGGGCAAACGGCTGCGCGGCGTCGATGCACGAGCACGTCACCTCGTCACCGCTGTTGATGGTCGTCGTCGCCACCAGTCGCATGCCGACACCGTCAGGGCCGGAGACCCACGCCGAGTTGGGCGAGCACGAGTGCGCGACTGAGGCTGCAAAAGGGAAATGCCCGTGCCCATCGACGGGAACGAGAGAACGTGGCCCGGCAGCGGTGCCGAGTTGGTGTTGATCCGGCACATGTTGTCGATGGCAAGCTCGACAAGATCGTCGGGCGTGCCGTACGGCTCCATGAGCGCGGCAAACTGCGGGACGCTCAGTGCAGCCTCAAACTGGGCCCGCGCACTCTGGATCCGCTGCTCCGGCGTGGCCTCGCGGTGAGTCGGCAGCGCGTCAAACTCGGCGCGGGTGGCCCGGGCAATGGCGATGGAGCCGAGAGTGGCGGCATCGGCAGCCGACGGGGTCGGCGGCGGCGGCGCTGCGGCGCGAACAATGGCCTTGATGATGAGGCCGACCATGACCAGCTCCTGCCCGCCGGCCCGCGGCTGCATGGCAAAGAGAGCAGAGAGCGGTGCGCAGTAGTCGGCATGGCCGGCCGCCGCCTCACACGCCGCCGAGCAGTAGGCCGACCGACATGAGGAGCAGGTGGAGATGACTTGCGGCGGGAACTGCTGCAGAAAGGCCGAGCAGTTGGCGCAGATCCGTGAGGCGAGGGCGGCCATTGGCGACCACACAAACGGGGCCTCGGCGAGGAGGACCGTCCCAGCCTCGACCTTGTCCGTCACGTAGACGTACGTTCCCCGCTCCGCCGTCGTCTTGCTCCGCAGCGGCCAGCTAGCCTCCAACACCTTGCCCTTCTTCCTCTTCTTGTTCTTCTTCTTCTTCTTCTTCCCTCCCTCGCTGGCGCCCGTCGCGCCCGTCGCGCTTGTCGTCGCCTCCAAAGTCGCCGCTGCCGGCGTGGCTGCTGTCGTCGTAGGGGGGGTGCTCATTGGAAGGGTAGGTAGGGGAGAGTGGGGTGGGGTGGGGTGGGATGGGAGAGGGGGGGAGGGAGTGAGGGAGGGGAGGGGAAGGGGGAGGGTGGAGGAAGGAGGGAGAGGGGAGAGGAGGGAGAGCGCGGGAGAGGCGCGAGGGTGGGGGTGGGGTGGGGGAAAATAGTTGTGCCACTCTGCTCACTGTCGTCGTAGGGGGAGATTCATTGGAAGGGTGGGATGGGACGAGGGTTGAGGAAGGAGGGGAGGGGAGAGGAGGGGAAAGGAGGGGAGGAAAAGGAGGGGAGGGGAGGGGGGGAGGGGGAGGGGGGGGAGGGGAAGAGAGGGGTAAATGTGTGGGGAGTGGGGGGTGGGGGGTGGGGGGTGGGGGAGAGAAAAATTGGTTGTGTCACTTTGCTCACTGCCGCCGGGAGCCAAACGGGAGCTCACTCGCATGCTGGCCGGGTGGGGGGAGCTGCAGTTGCCCACACACAGCCACACGCAAACAGACATATCTCTGCAGCTGTTGCTGCTGCATTTCCAGCGGCTCGTATGTGGCACCGCACCAGCACGCCGAGTACATTCTCCACCTCGTCCACCTCTGGCTCTGCCACAACGTGCGGCTCGTCCTCGTCGTACTCCTCCTCCGCATCGACTGCGGCAGTTTGGCAGACAGGCGGGGAGGCCTTCCGAGCCGGACAAGCAGCAGTCGGGCAAGTGGTACAAGATCGAAACACAACTCGGGCGATTACACACACGATGCGAGCTTGTATGATGACTGCGGGAGTAGTGGTGGATCGGATGGCGGTGTCGACCCCGAGTCCGAGTTCAGGCTCAAGGCGCGCGATGGTGGCGGATTCTGGCATGGCCTCGGAGTCGTCTGTCTGTTTGGGATCAAGGTTGTGCTCTCGCTGGCCTTTGCGCCCATCTCGTTTATGCTCATTCCGTTCTGGCTCAAGGGGCAGCTGCAGTGGATTGGGACGGTTCGGCAGTGGCTCCGGAGGAGAATCTCCGGCGATGAAGAGGCCGCCGAGGCGATGAGCGAGAGCAGCGCACCTGCGAGCAAGGCCGAGTTGGCAGCCAAGGCAGAGCAGAACGGAAAGTGGGAAGCCGATCAGAAACGGCTGTTCCGTTTCTCGCTCGCTGCCCTGGTCTTTCCGATCATTGCCTATGTCAACGTCATCGTCAGCGTGTACTACGACGAGTCGGTCTCGCGTACTGAGGTCTACGTCCCGATCATGCATGTTGTGGTCATTGTCTTTACCCACTTCTTGTCGCTCGAAAAGCGGCTCTCTGACGGCGGCGCGTTTGGTGAAAAGGGTTCGACGAAGGATACCAAGCGGTTCACCTTTTACCTTCCGGCCATCGAATACGACAGCCGGATGGACGACGACGAGGAGGGCCAGAGCCTGTTGGGGCTGACAAGAAAGGAGTTTGATGAAAAGGCGCTGCTAGCGACGATCGAGCGACACGCGTCGCTCGACTCGTCGCCGGTGGTCAAGCCGGTGGCAGTCCTTACGGCGACGATCATTGCAGCGGTGGCGGCGATCATCGGCCCGCTTCATCGCATGGGCCCGCTGACCAAGACTGAAGCGACTGGCTTCTTTGGCCAGGGGACATGGTACGATGTGCTCATTGTCGTCAACTCGGCGTACTGCATGTTTGTCTTCTCGCTCACCTTTCTGCTGGAGGCCATGGCCATTGCCGCGCACTACTGGAAGATCTTCTTTGGCCTGCGGCTGGCGTTCAAGCTTGTCCAGTCGAAGCAGTCGGGCATAGTCAACGCGGACGGCACGCCATTTGAGCTCGAGCTCAACTCGGCGCATGCCATCCAAACGTGGCTTGCCCTCAAGCGTAGTATCCGCCGATGGGGCGAGAACTCGCTGGTGGTGGCGCTAGTCAACCCGAGCCTTGTCATGACCGTCGTCTACCTCGCCTTTTTCGCCATCATCATCTTCATTCGCTTCGCCGTCCTCCACAAGCCCATCGACGAGTTTGCGTGGTACTCGCTCTCCGCCGCCGTCCCGACCTTCATCTTCCTCGTCGCCACTATCTACGCCTCGGTCGCGATCGCGGAGCTGCCCGAGAAGGAGAACGAGTTTCTTACTGAAAAGCGCATCGTCGACCTCGAAAAGTATCTCGACACCGTCCGCAAGCAGCAGGCTGCAGCCAAGTCGCGGACGCGGTCGAGTGACTCGTCTGAGGACAGCTTCTCCGAGCTCAAGCTTGATCTCGCCGTCAAGCACCTCGAGCTCCTCATCCGCATGTTCCGGCAGGCAATCGACGACAATGTCCCGCGTCCGATTCGAATCTTTGGCCTTCCTTCAACCGCAAGCTGCTTGCCTCGCTCTCGGCCTCACCGCTTGTCACCGTCATCCTCGGCCTCGTCCGGCCCGCAACAGTTTAAGTAAAGCAGACAAAGTTGGCACGTGGCTGTGCAAGAAAATGCGATCGCATGTTTTTTGAGCGTCTTTTGAGCGCTTTGGGCAGGTGAGGCATAAGGAAGAAGGGAAGGAGAAGCGTCTTGGGATTCAGATGGAGCTGGACTTACCCTAACGGTGATGACAGAGGTGACTATGGAGCTTATTTTGTGGGGGAGTGGTTTATGTGCGTGGAAGCAGCTCGTCGAGGTTGGCGATCTCCCACACGAGGGCGGCCATGGCTGCGACGCACTCCTGGAACTCGCCAGGCGCGATCTTGTCGGAGGTGTCGGCGTCGGTGTGATGGAAGTAAAAGTAGTACGAGTCCGGGTAGCCCTTGCCGACGAGGAGGCCTGCGCCGGGGACGCCCGCGTCGATGAGCGGCTGGATGTCGACGCCGCCGCCGCCGCGTGTCATGGCGAGCTCCAGGCGGGCCGCGGGATCGTCGTCGTCGTCAGAGGCAGCGGCGTCGGCATTGATGGCGTCGATGATGGCAGAGAGCTTGGCAAAGGCGGCGTCGGAGCCGGTAAATCCAAAGCCCTTGGGGGTAAAGATGCCCGAGTCGGATTCCAGGGCAAACGAGAGACTCTCCATCTCGTGGGCGTGGTCGCGGGCGTACTGGGCGGCGCCAGCAGCGCCGTTCTCCTCGTTGGTCCAGGCGACGACGCGGATAGTGCGACGCGGGGCGAGGCCGAGGGTCTTGATGACGCGGAGAGCGTCCCATGCGGCAAGGATTCCGCCGCCGTCGTCGAGGGCGCCGGTGCCGACGTCCCACGAGTCGATGTGCCCGCCAAGAACGACTACCTGGTCGGGAAACTCGGTGCCGGTCATCTCGCCCATGACGTTGTACGAGAGAGCCTTGTCCGGCAGGGTGTGGGCCTCCATGGCCAGCTCCAGCTCGATTGTCTCGCCGGCGGCAGCAAGGCGGGCGAGGAGCTCGGCGTCCTCGACGGTGATGGCAGCGCCTGGGACAGCGGCGGGCGCCATCGAGCCGGTGTGCGGGGTGTTGAGCGAGAACGGTGTGACCGAGCGGACGAGGGCGGCGACGGCGCCGAGGCGTGCGGCCTCCTTGGGTCCCTCGCGGCGGACGGGCGAGGTCTCGCCGTAGGTAGTGAATCGCTGGTTGAGGAGAAGGAAGGTCCCGTTTGCGGCATTGTCGGGCATGGCGCGGGCGGCGGCGAGCGATTCGACGACGGTGATGCCAGCCTTGATGCCGGCGACCGGGGTGGGGCCGGAACCGCCGAGGCCGAGCATGGCCATGGGCCCCGCAATGAGGGCCGGCTGCAACAGGTGCAGGCTCTCCTCGCCGCGGACCCAGTGTGTGACGTTGACTGGCTCGCGGACGACGCGATCAAGGCCGTCTGAGCGCATGTTGTCCTCGATCCAGACGATGGCGTCCTCCAGAGCCTGCGAGCCCGAGAGGCGATGGCCAAAGGTATCGCACATGAAGACCAGGCGTTGGTAGCCGAGAGAGGCATTGAGGGCAGAGTGGATGATGTGGGTGGTAGCCGGATCGGGGACATGCCTCGGCTGGTTGTTGTCCTTGCCCCGGGTGCTCACCACCGCCGCCACCACTCCGCCCGTCACCACCAGGACCACCAAGAGCATGAGTAGCCCGCCCTGGCTCCGCGACACCTGAGGGCATCCACCGGCCCTCCTTCCTTCACCGCTATGCCTGCCCTCTTCGCCTGCTCCCTCTGCCTTCCGGCTCGTCAGCGGCACAGCCTCGTCGTCGGTCATGGCTGGCGAGTCACGTGTGACTGCCCGGCGAGCGGAGGGGGGGGGAAGAGGAGGGGAGGGGAGGGGAGGGGAGAGCGGGGGATGAAGGCGATGGGTATGTAGATGGATTGGGGTTGGGGGATGGGTGGGTGGGTTGGGTAGGTAGGCATCAGCATCAGTACGCAGCCTGACGGTAGCCGCCAGAGTTGCCGGCGGCTGCAGACTGCTGGTAGGGCGTGGCTGCAGCAGGCTGGTAGGCCGGCGGGGCGCCCGAGGCAGTGGAGCGGGAGGTGGAGGTCGACGATGCCGAGTGGCCGCCGCCACCGCCAAACATAGAGCGAACACCCGAGAAGACACCGCCACCGCCGCCGCCTGCCGCCGAGGTTGACGATGAGACGCGCGACGACTCGGAGACCTGGCCGCGCGAGCGTGAGTGTGAGGCCGACTCGGCATCGCGACGGGAGCGCGAGCTGTCGCGCGGCTTGCGCTCGTCGCGGCAGCAGTCGCAGAAGATGGACATAAAGATGACCAAGAAGCCGCCAAAGAGATACATGTACGAGACGATGACGAGGACGGAGGCAACCTTGTAGATTGTCTCGTCCTCACACTTGGCGTTGGCCGACGAGACGTAGCCCGAGCCGACGATGGTCCACACGAGAGCGCCGACCCAGACAAAGGCATAGAGACAGACAAACGGGTCGTACATGGCCATGTGGCAGGCGAGCGAGGCGATGGACTTGCCCTCCTCGTCAGGGCGCGGGTAGGCAACCCGCCAGTAGCCGTACGAGGCAAACATTAGATGTAGCCCACATACAAAGAACTGCACAATGCAGAAGGTCTGTAGGTTCGAGTCGCATGCGCCCGAGCCGGTAAAGGCCGTGATGAGGCCCGCCACAGCCGGCACCAGGTTGAGGCACCACGCATAGCTGAGGAAGATCGGGAACGGGCGGTCCTGCGGGCAGATGGTCTCGATGCTGTCACAGCGAGAGAAGGGGGGGTGGGGTGGCAATGAGAGCAGTGATCACGGAGGGCAGTAAGCAGCGGCAGTTGTAGGAGACAGCAGGAGTAGCAGTCGCAGGAGGCGACGACGAGCGGCGGCAGAACAAGAGCAGGAGGCGGCGACGAGCGGCGGCAACAGGAGGCGGCGACGAACGGCGGGAGAACAGGAGGCGGCGACGACCACGACGGACCAGGATGACGGCATGGACCAGGATGACGCAACAGCATGAGTGTGTGTGGAGCACCTCCGCAGCCCCCCCCTCCCCCTCCCCTGTACGTACCACTTCTCACAGCCGTCACCAAGGGAAGCACAGGCATCCGAGATGGCCTGACAGAAGTAGACAGCCATAGTGGAAGAACCTGAGAGACAGACAGTGCGACAGTATTGGTGTTGGTGTTGGTGTTGGTGTTGGTGTTGGTGTTGGGAGGAGGGGAGGGGTGGGGGAGGGGTGTGTGTGTGGAGGACTTGTTCTCGTTGTCGGTGGGGAAGGGTCCGTCGGCGAGTGGCGTGTGCCAGTTGGTTCCCCCTGCCTATGCCACGGGACGACCTCATGCCGATGGCATGCATGGGTCTTGCCGATGGCCACCACCCACCCGATCCATCCCATGCCCCTTGGCCATCAATATGCCCATTGGCCATCCCTTGCCCCTTGGCCATCCCTTGCCCCTTGCCCGTACCACCCTCCACCTCCCCCTATCACCACCACTACCACCACCCCACCTCCCCCCCCCCCCCCCCCCTCCTACCGCCTCATGTCGCATAACAAGGGCCACATACCACGCCACCTCGCACGGGGCAAGGACACACCCGCCCCTGTCAAGTACGGCATCATCTCCATGGACACCACCCCTGGTCCCACCACCACCAGCACGACCAGCACGACCAGCACGACCAGCACGACCAGCACGACCAGCACGACCACCACTGCCGGCCCGGCCCGCCTCCCCTCGGCCAAGAAGCAGAAGACGGACAAGAGAGGATCAGAGACGCTGGCGCTGTCGTCGTCTGCTGCGGCGGCTGCAGCAGAGCATGAGAAGCTCGTCTCGCAGGTCGACCGCCTCGCTCGGGCCCGCTCGGTCATCGTCTCCACGGACGATGCCCGGGTCAGGGCCCGCCTCCGTGCCCTCTCGCTGCCCATGACGCTGTTTGGCGAGGGCGAGGCCGAGCGGAGAGAGCGCTTGCGGAGCTATCTGGCCGATCTGGAGATGGAAGGCATCGACTCGAGGACTGCCGGCCTGAGCCCGGGCGACAACCAGGACATCGCCGCCGACGACGGCGGCGTCGAGGCCATGGACGAGACCGAGCTGGTGTACACAGAGGCTGACCCGGCGCTTGTTGCCGCCCGCCACGCCATTCTTGCCGCTAGTCAGGCTGCCGCTGCCGCTCGCCGCGCGCGCCTTGCCGCCACGCTCGGCTCGCGCGACGCGGCCACTCTCGAGGAGGACCGCATCCGCTCGCTCGGCAACGCCACCGCCAAGCACGTCTACGTCTCGTCACAGCGCGCCGGTCGGCGGACGGTAGCTCACTGCGCACTGGCACCCGACGGTGCTCGCCTTGCCACGTGCTCCTGGCACGGGTGTGTCAAGGTCTGGGACGCCGCCTCGTGCGAGCTCATCCTCGACATGCCGACCGCCCATGAGGAGCGGGCGTCGGGCGTGGCCTGGTCGCCGGCTGCCGGCGCCGGCGGCGTCGACCTCGCCTCGTGTGCTGCAGACATGACCATCAAGCTGTGGAATGTCGACGCCGCGGCTGCGGTGGCCACCCGCGACGAGGCCCCACCGCCGCGGGCTGTCCTCACCGGCCACCGCGACCGGGTCTCGCGAGTCGCCTTTACCCCGACCGGTGACTATCTCGCGTCGACCTCGTTTGACGCCACCTGGCGTCTGTGGGACGTCGCTTCCGAGACTGAGCTCCTCCTCCAGGACGGCCACTCGCGGCCGGTGTATGCGCTGGGCATGCATCCGGACGGCTCGCTGGTCGGGACCGGCGGCCTCGACGCACTCGGCAGGGTGTGGGACTTGCGAACCGGCCGCACCGCCATGGTCTTGCAAGGCCACGTCCACGCCATCCTCGCCCTCGACATGGCCGACAACGGGTACCACGTCGCCACCGGCGGCGACGATAACTCGGTCATTATCTGGGACCTCCGCAAGCAGCACGCCGTTTACATCCTCCCTGCCCACACCAAGCTTGTCTCCGACCTTGCCTTTATCCCTGGCGGCTCGTCGACGCTCGTCACCGCATCGTACGACGCGACCCTCCGCCTCTGGTCAGGCACCAACATGTCGCTCCTCCGCACCTACACCGGACACTCGGACAAGGTCACCTCGGTCGCTGTCGCCGCCAACGCCGCCAAGTTTGTCTCCTCCTCCTTTGATCGCACCTTTAAGGTCTGGGCCTCCCCGTAGCCGAAAGCTCAGTTGAACGCGTCGATGTATACCAGCTGCCGATCCCGAAAGTACGGCGCGCGCTTGAACCGCTTCCCGCTGCCCGCTCCACCCGAGCCCGAGCCTGCGGCGCCGAAAAACTCCGAGAGTGACGTCTGCTCTTCCTCTTCCATCGCAGCCAGCTCGTCGTCGTCGTCGTCATCGTCAGAGTCCGAGTCGACAAACGGGTAGCTGACCGGTGCAGCCTTGGCCTCGAGCAGCTTGCGGCACGGCGCCCAGGAGAAGCGGGCAATCGACGGAAAGCCAAAGACCGGATCGATCGAGCCTGCCAGCCACTTTTTGGTGTTTGGGTCGCCCGGATAGCCCGAGCCAAAGACTCGCGAGACGCCCGAGCCCTCGGCGTTGAGTGCAGGCTCGGCAAAGACCCAGTTCTCCACAATGAGGTCGCGCGCGACCTTTGCGCAGATTGATGCCGCCGACACAATCGGATACAACGCGTCGGCCTTCTTCCGCACCGCAATCTTGAGCTGCGGAAACAGCCGCGAGAGATGTGCCTCGTACTTGGTCGGTGAGCCGACCGTGTCCACAAACACCTCCTGGAGGTTCACGCCCTGCGCCAGCACCCAGCGGATGAGCCCGATCGCCGTGTCGTGCGAAATCGTGTTGAGATTGTACTTGGGCACCCGCAGCATCTTGCCCGACAGCTCCTCCGGGCTCAGCGAGTGGATCTTGAACCCGAGGCCCAGCCGCTCCCGCACCTCCTCCGACCCGATTTCTGCGTACATTCGCTCGCGCGTCTCTGCCGTCAGCGCCTTGGAATCATCAAACTTCATCTTCTTCAGCGCATCCTTCTTTGCCACCGGGCAGTATGCCGCTCCGTACACCATCGGCCCTATCACAGCCCCGCCCCCACCAGTCCACCCCCCCACCAGCCCGCAGCCGCCCCCAGCCCGCAGCCGCCAGCCACGACCAGTCCCAGCCCCCGACCACCAGCCACAACCAGTCCCGACCACCAGCCACATCACACCCCATACCGTGCATCCGGCAACCCAGCCCCCCGGCGCCCAACCGTCCAAGCAGCCCCGCATGTCCCACACACCGCAATAAGTGCCCCCCCCCCCCCCCCCCTCCTTCCCACTACGGGGGAGAATCTACCCCCTCCCTCCCTTCCCCCTCGCCTCACATACCAAGCGCAGGCCCTCGCCCAGCCTCATCAATGCCCATGCAGCACGGTTCTGTTAATGCCTCGGCTGGTACAGGTGACGCATGGTGTGGTGGCACCCGCTGCAGAGGTCCCGATGCCATGGCTGCAGTGCTCGCCGCAGAGTCGAGTGGCTGGGCCGAGTGGCTGGACCGAGTGGTTGGGCCGAGCTATGCTGGGTAGCCGGACTGAGAGAGGGGCTTCGCCGGACAAAGCCGGTGGGGGGGGGGGGGGGGGGGGGGAGGGCTTTATCACGACCGCTTGCGGTGCTCGCCGCGGAGTTTGGACTCTTTGCGGAAGTAGTCCTTCTTCTTGATCCGCAGACGGGCCTTCTTGGCCTCCTCCTCGATGGCGAGCCGCTTGGCCCTGTTGGTCCGCTCGCGGATCTTGGCGTGCTTGGCCTTGTGGAGCTTGGTCTTGCGGACGGCGTTGATGGAGGAGATGAGGGAGGTCATCTTGCGCTCGTAGTCGTCCATGACCACTGCAGTGTGCCTGTTGATGGCCTTCTTGGCCTTGGCCTTGGCCTGCGCCGACTTCTTCTTGGTGTGCATGCCGCGATCCTTGGGCTTGGACTTGAACGGCAGCGCAGCCTCGAGCGACGCCGGCAGCCGCAGCGGGTTGAACCGCTTGGTCGTCCGCTTGATGGTGGTGTACGATGAGTCGCCCGAGTGCGGTGCGAGGAGGCCGCGCTCGAACCGGAGCCGGCCCACCGTCTTGGCGCCCACCCACTCGCTGGTCGACGGCTCGAGCAGGTTGGTGACCGGGAAGTGGACCTTATCAGGATAGACCGGGACCCACGCCCGGAGGAAGACAATGTCCGACATCCGCGGCCGGTCCTCAAAGGTGACACGGACCGTGCCTGGCGGGAATGCCCCCGACGTCGTCGCCCGCTTGATGGCTCCGCGGATGCCCGAGACCGTCTTGACCGACGCCCGCTCATACCGCGCCGCCTCCACCGGCGACGAGAACATGCCTTTGACAAACGCCGTGTGCTTGGAGATCTGCATCGGCTCGCCCACAAGCTTGATCTTCTTTTGGATAGTGAACGTCTCGTTCATCTCCAGCAGCGTGCCTGTCGCCGCGATGCGGTAGCCCGGCGCGCCGGCAGAGAGTGACGAGAACGCCACAAAGCCAGAGTTGACTGGCGCTGCTGGCCCATAGAACACAGCCTCGCAGTGCGCGTGCTCCGGAGTGTACTTGGCGTACATCGTCCGCCCGTTGTTCCACCGCGCGTAGAGCGGAACCGTCTGGAACCGCCGCCACCCGAGCGAGAAGATGAGCGGGTCGTTCGACTTGAGGATCCGCGAGTGCCACCGGTGCCGCTTGATCCGCGCGCGAAGGAACGTCATCGTCGTCTCGCCCGTCGGCACCCCACACACCAGCATCGGCCGCCGCGGATCAAAGTGGAGCATAAGCTCCGCCGGCAGCGCACGCATCACAATCCGCACATACGTTCCCGCCCGGTAGCCCTCGTAAATTGCACGCTTCTCCTCAGGCAGCGAGGCAAAGTGCGTGAGGTTCAGCTGCTTCTGCCGGTCCATCTCGGTCAGCATGTTGATAGCAATGTTGTGCTCGTTCGAGTCCGACGACTCGCTCTCCGAGCCTGAGCCCGAGCCCGAGCCCGAGCTCGAGCTTGAGCTCGAGCCCGATCCCGATCCCGAGCCCGAGTCCGAGCCCGAGCTCGAGCCCGAGTCTGAGCTCGAGCTCGAGCTTGCGGCCTTCATCGGGACCCGGTTTGACGACATCAGGTCGTCGTCCGAGTTGTCGTCAGCGTCCGAGACGTGCTGGACAAACCGGGCGCGGAGCGCGTCGGCGCCGAGTGCCGAGATTGAGGCACGGAGGTCGTCGAGGGAGGCAAACGAGGCGCGGGTCGAGTCGACTGCGTTAAGCCGCTGCGAAGCCCGCGAGGCCTTCGGCTTGAGCAGGAGCGTGTCATCGAACGGGTTGGCACCGGGAGCGCGCACCTCGTCATCTGACTCGCTCAGCAGAGCGTTGGCGTCGTCAGCGTCGGACTTTTTGCCGTCCGGCCCGTACACAAGGTCCATGAGGTTAAACTTGGCCCGCTCCTTGTACTTGGCCACGGCGTTGGCCATGAGGTTGTCCTTCCACCGGGCGCCGCCCATGTCGTCGCTCGATGCAGAGTCACTGGAGGCCGAGCCGGCATCGAGCTTCGGCCGCTTGGCCCGCGGCACAAGCGCCGGCGAGGCTGAGCCGTCGTCCGACCCGCTCCCGCGCTCAGAGTCCGAGGCGTCCGAGCCCGAGCCGCGGCTGCGCAGGCGCTTGCGGCGGTTCGGCTTGTCGCCAACCAGCTGCCAGGTCTCCGACTCGGAGCCCGAGCCGTCGCTGCTGGCAGGGCCCGAGGCATCCGAGCCCGAGCTGGAGCCCGAGCCGGAGGCGACGGCGCGGGTGGCGTTGAGGGTGGCGACGTCGACGCCGCGGCGCTCGCGGGCGACCTGCTTCTCGACGTCTGCGGTGGAGATGTGGGTACCACCGGCAAACAGCTGGAACGTCGACTTTTGGAGCTGTTCGTCAAGACCCATGCGGGTGTCGGCGAGCTGCTGGACCATGGCCTCGCCGTCGTCGGCCGAGCCCGAGCCCGAGGCATCGCTGTCGTCGCCGTCGTCGGCGTCCGAGCCAGAGCCGGCCTTGACGTGGTGCTTCTTGTCGAGCGGCTTCTTGGCCACCGAGTTGTTCTGCAGATCAATGTAGACGGCGTCGCGATCAAACAGGATGTCGCCGACGTCCGAGAGCGGGGCGTAAAGGAGCTTGGAGCGGTCGGCGAGGCGGCGCTTGCCGCCAGACGAGCGCTCGGCGAGGGGGCACGGGTCGTCCATGATGGTGACCGAGTCCATGGCGTACTCGCCGGCGCCCGGGATGTAGACCTGCATGTTCGACTTGAGGTGGGTGCCGCGGACGTAGCCGTAGAGCACCACGTTGCGGTCGACGCCCGGGTTGTCCTTGACATCCTGCGGATTGGTGACGTCCTCGACGCGGTCGACAAGGACGTATGGATGAGTGTTGCGCCAGATGATGGGCCGGAACTTTTGGATGGAGATAAACCGGGCGAGGTTGCGGATCTCCATCGGCGAGTATCGGCCGTACTGGATGGACGAGAGGTAGAAGAGCTTGGCGCCATCGTAGACCTCGGTCCAGAACCGATGCTTGAGGCGCTTGCGGGTCTTGCGCTGCTTCTTGCCGTCCTTGAAGGTGTCGAGATGGGTGAGGACGCCGAGGATCTTCATGAACCCGTGGTTCTGGGCAATGTTGAGAAACTCAAAAGTGTCCATCTCAAAGCCGTACGAGGCGTCGATGACGAGCAGAACGAGGTCGCAGACCTTGGCGGCGTCGATCATGGCGTTGAGCTCGTTGGGCACCTCGATAAAGGTCAGCCGACGGGCCTTGGACGAGACCACGGTAACCGGGCCCTTGATCTCACCCAGCGAGTACCGGGTGTAGTGCTTGACGAGCGAGCGGATGATGGTGGACTTGCCGACCTTGGGAGGGCCGACCACGCCCACCACAATGGGCGGAATCGAGTTGGGGTCCGTCCGATTGACCAGCGGCACGTGGAGGCGCTTCTGGTCCAGATCAGCCTTGCGATTGCGATACCGGAGTGCCTTGACGCCCGACTTCATCAGAAAGGCCTTGGAGTTGGCCTTGGCCAGCGACTTGCCCTCCTTCTTCTTGTGCGCAATGATCTTCTTCTCCCGCTTCTTGCCCTTGGTCGCCTTCTTGTGCGGCTTGTTGGCCGCATGGAGGTTGGAGAACTCCATGGTGGGCAGGCGAGGGGAGAGGGGCTATACAGGGAGGACGACAGGGGAGAGAGAGGTGACGGCGGTTGGTATGTGTGCGTATGTGTGTGGTAGTGGTAGTGGTGGTGGTGGTGGTCGGTTGGGTGAGGTGTGGCTGGTGCGAGGGAAGGGTTGGGGGGGGGGGGCAAGCTGGTGGATTTGGTTTGTCAGCGGGGGAGGTTTCTTGCATCGCAATGCTTGGGAGGTGGCACATTAGTCGCGGTACAGGAGAGGGTCGTCGTCGTCATCGCTGCGGAGATAGCCAAAGAGACGGACGGTGTACTCGTAGCCGGCCCAGGCACAGGCGTTGGCTGGACCGGCACGAACGATGCAGGGGACAAAGCCGCGGTAGAGGCCGCGGAGACCTTCGGTGGCGAGGACGTGGCGGAGAGTGGCGGCGATGGTGGGGAAGGCGCGGATGGCGCGGACCGGGGTATCGCCCTGCATCCGGGTCTTGATGTGGTCGGCGGGGTACGGCACGCCCCAGAACAGAGTGCCGGCGACCCAGCCGGCTGTGAGGACCTGCCAGACAGGGAGATCGTCATGCGGGCCGTAGTCAAGGACCGAGCGGAACGCGTGGCATGTCGCCTCGTAGCCTTCAAAGAACAGGATGTAGCCAAACGTGTTGCGGACAAGAGTCGGGCCAAGCCCCTGGAACATGCCGCGGAGCCCGTTGGTCTCGACCAGGACTCGCGCGCAGTGAAAGACCGATGAGTACTCGGCATGGCGGAGCTGAAGCTGGGTCTTGATCAAATCGACAGGGCCCTCGACGAGCGAGGTGCATGCGCCGGCAAAGGCCCCAGCCACCACCAGCTGGGCCTTGGACAGATCGGTGGCCTCGCGCGGACCGTCAGCGTCTCCGGCTCTGTCGCTCTCGCTCGTATCCAGCCATCGGGCAATGGCCTTGCCCTGGGCCAGCGAAAAGTACAAGGTCCCATTGAGGGCGGCCATGCCCAGAGCTGGCGACTGGACACCCTTGTAGAGGCCAAGAAAGCCATGTTCGGCGACGAGCGAGCGAAAGCAGTGGACCATCGAGGTGTACTTGCCCGGATTTGTGCTCTGATTGACCTTGACCGTGTCGAGAATGTGTCCCACAGGAATCCGCGCCAGTCCGCCCACCCATCCCCCCACAAATTCCTCCATGGCCGTCAGCTTGGCCTTGCCACTCCGGGCCGCCTCCTCCGTCCTCGCGCCACACTGCGAGCCCCCCTGCCCGTCGACTCGCTCCATGCCACCCTCCAGCACCCTAGTCCTACTTGTGCTTCCCGGTTCGGTTGCCATCCTGGGTTGTGCCTCCACCCCCCCCCTCACGCGTCGCCGTGTCCGGGGTGGGCCTGGCAGAGAGGTGGGCAGTTGAGTCGCTGCCGCCGCCGACGCGAGCGCAGGCACGCCCGGCCTGCAGCCGCTGAAGCTGGTGTTACACATGGTTTCGGGGCAGGCTGGCGGCGGCGGCGGCGACGCGACGACGCCAGTCCGATCCAACTACGTTCCACAGGAGGGGGACAACGAGCTGCGAGCAGATGGTGACGCCGATGACAACAAGATGCAGCTCGCGCGAGATGAGGCGGCGGGCCCGGGCGCGCGAGAGGAGGACAAGCGCATATTCCGAGACCTGCGCGAGGGCTAGGCCGGTGAGCGAGGCCATGGCGGCGTCGGTGCCAGTCACCATGTACACCGCCCCACTGGCAAGGATCATCTTGACAAGGACGAGTGCAGCGGTGGTGATGAGGAGTAGGAGCGATTCGGAGAGAAAGAGTTGCGCCTGGAGCGAGAGGCCGATGGCGACAAAAAGACGTGCAGGAAGAACCGGTGGAGGGCCTCGATGTCGCCGACGGCACCGGCGCCACCGAGACGGACCAGACCGGAGAGACAGCCGGCCACAAAGGTGCCGAGCTCCGGCGCGAGGCCGACCGTGTCGGCGAGGCAGGCTGCGGCGAGCGCGTACGCCGAGAGGACGGTAAGCGAGGCTACTGCGTGAGCACGCGGCAGGATGTACCTCAGCGGAAGCGCGGCGGCCGAGAGGCCGCCCACAAGCGCAAGGAGTGAGACCGAGAGCGCGCCGACGCCGGCCAGCGGATCAAACTCGTTGAACAGGTACTTTTCTGCATGCGGAATGAGCGAGAGGACAACGGCGGTGAAACTGGTTTGCACGGTCTGCACCGCCGAGATACCGAGCCCAAACGAGGTCTCGCGCTCCTTGACGGTCAGCGTTGAGAGAACGAGGTGCGTGGCCGAGAGCGAGAGGGTGAGGGCGATGAAGGCGGCCTCGCCGGCCGAGCGTCCCAGCATCTGGGCCACCGATCCGCACACCGCCATGAGGCCGAGCTGGAGCAGGATGTTGATGCCGGCGGCTTGGGTGAGGAGGATGCGGTCGACGACAACCAAGGTCTCCGAGGCCATGGCACCCTTGCGGGCTTCGTGCCTCGCGTCGCGTGACGTTAGATTGCGCCCCAACAGAAAGACGGCGACGATGACGCCGAGCTCACCCAGCGTTCGGATGAGCACAACGTTGTCAATAGTGTCCAGGATCGAGGTGCCGAGGACAACGCCGGCACCGATGGAGCCAAGAACTCGTGGGAGGCGCAGAGTCTGCGCCAGGCCGCCGCCGACATACCCGACCGCAATGGTGAGCCCGATGTCACGTACCAACCGTCGGTTGACGTGCAGGACCGAGACGTCGCGCGACTTGACGATGCCGTACACATTGTTGTCCGAGTCGACAAGCGTCAGTGCAGTCGATTTGCGCGAAAGCCGGGCCGGCTCGCTTGTGCTTTTTTCCGAGCCCGGGCCCAAGCCCGAGCCCGGGCCCGGGCCCGATCCCGGCCGTGCGGCTCTGGCAGTGTCATCGGTCTTGGTCCGCGAGCCCGAGACCGGCGCCGGCACCCCAGCCGACGGCACCACCGCCACCGTGTCTGTCTCCTCGTCGACCTCCTCCAGCACCACCAGGGTCTCGAGCTCGGCGCCGGCGCCCTTGGACTTTTTGTACACGTCCTCGGCCTCGGACTCGAGCTTGTCCACCTCGTCGCGGACATGGTCGAGGGTATCGTCGACCAGCTCGCCAAACTTGTCGACAACGCCATCGTCACTACTCTTAGTCTTGCCTGTGGCTTCAGCCTCGGACGAGCTCTTGCCCGCAACACGCTCAGCCGGATCGGTCGGCGTCGTCGCGCCATCGCCACCAGTCGCAGTGGAACCGGTGGCAGTGGCGCCGGGCTGCGGCGACTCTTTCGACGTGCCCTCTCTTCCCGATGCCGATACCAGGACTGAATCGAGAGGATGGACCACGACGTCGTCCGAGTTGCGGCGGCCTGCAGCATCAGCGCCATCAGACCCGCCCGCCTCGGGCTTCTCCTTCCGCCGCTTCTCCTTCTCCTTGCCCTTCTCCTTCTCTTCCTCGCTTCTTGCGGCAAACATGTCTGTGATGTCTGCCACAAGGTCCTGCATGTCGGCCGCCGCCCGCTGCAGCGCCTTGAGTCTCAGCGATGCGGCAACGAGAAGAGCATCGAGGTTGTTATCGTTGACGGCCAGGTCGAGGAAGCCAATGCCGTCGATGACCACATCACGAGTCATGTTGACCGCCCGCACCGCCAGCTCCAGACCATCATCAACGCCAGCAGCATCCGCCTCGTCCTTGCCATGGCCGCCACCACTCCACTCGGCCACTCTCTCCGCCGACTTGTCCAGGGCGTGGCAAGCGCGGCTGCCAGCGCCCAAAGCTCCAAGCACGAGCATGGACATGCCCAGGACCAGCCACAGAGCATGTCGGGAACATCTTTCCCGCATTGTGTGCGTATATGTGTGTGTGTGTGTGTGTGCGTGCGTGTGTTTGTGAGTGTGTATGTATATATATGTGTGTGTGTGTGTGTGTGGAGTGGTGTGTGTGGTGATGAGTGTCGGCAGTGGCGGGAGAGTAGACAGGTTGGTCGAAGGTTGGGGGAGAGGGAGGGGGGTGGGGGGGGTGAGGGGTGAGGGGTGAGGGGTGAGGGGTGGGGGTGGGGGGTGGGAGAGCGGTATCGGGAAGATCGGGAGATGAGAGCGGATGATGTGTATTCGCATTTGTACCTGTCTATCTCTCTGTCTGTCTCTCTGTCCGTCTGTCTGTCTGTCTCTCATCAGGATGGTAGCACAACGTGGTCTCC